TATATATATATGTCATATACATATATACACGTGATGTCACGTTCTGTTTACGGTAAACAGTCAAACACATGGATGTTACCTGTTAGCTTGTCGATTCTGAAGTTGTTGAGCATTTAGAGCAGGTTAAATAATTCAATGACATTTTTGACATTTGTGTAGCTTACTGTTTACATTTTAACCTGCCTCTGGTTGGCTGCTCTGTTCAAGCATGTATTAATGGAAGGAGAGCGCTGTGACATGCTTTAAGTAAAGATACTTTAGGTCTGACACTATCAGGTATTTTTGTGGATTCTCAGTCATCCAGGACATGGAAATTTCAAAGAAAAAAAACACAAAACAACTGGACTTCTGTAGCTGAAGACGTGTGGAGTCACAACAATATGCTGGAAGTGTTCCAACTAAAATATTGATCCAGAACTTTAGTATCATCATGGTCCAGTGGTATTATCAGATGCTTCTGTGGATTCTCAGTCATCCAGGACATGGAAAAAGACAAATACGAAGCAACTGGACTTCTGTTCTGTAGCTGAAGAAGTGTGGAGCTACAAGATTTAAACGGCAGCACCCGAGGCTAGTATCCTTATTACTTGGATGGATCTGTACCGCCCCAGGAAACAACTGAAACATGTAGGATAGTGGTCCTCCAGGACCAGGACTGAGAACCACTGGATTAAACTGAGGTTGGTTCTGACAGACATCAGATCTGTATCTGATTATTACCAGGTTCTAATTTAAAGAATGTGTTTTTATTATCACTGTGTAATGTTGAAGTTCTAACTCAGCAAGTACCTTATTTTTCGGACTATAAGCCGCACCCCCAACATAAAAAAAACAGTACACCCAAATTTGCCGTCAAAAAAGTGAATTCAACATCAAAACACAAAAAGCAAACCTTTAGGAATTAAAGTTCAGAGGAATACGGTTCATTTAATGGACCTTATTTTGTTAGTTTTCTTTAACAGTTTCTGGTCCAACAAAACGTCTCATTCATCWTCCTCCGGAGCACTGAAACCATCGAAGTCCTCCTCTTCAGTGTCGGAGTTAAACAAGCTGAGAAAAGCTGCGTCACACAGCGGTATCTGTTGTCCTCCCGGGGTAATGCTGGCTCTGAAGCTGTGGTGACTCAAATTAGTTTATATGTTTGATAAACTAAAACTAACTCATTCAC